CAATTTATGAGATTTTATCACTTGTCGCTCTTGATCTTCGGTTGACGAATCATGTATCTTGAGCATGTGGACTTTATTTTCTATTGAAGATCATTTCGAGAGTTCCGGCACCGCAGTTTGGGTATTTTGGTATCTTTTCGGCACAACAGAGATTAGTTTTCAAGGAGAGTGATTCTTCTTTCTATGGTATTTTGTTCGAGCAGCTTCAGCAACTGAATCACCCATCTTCTCATGACCGCAGAGTATCTCTTTTACTCTATTTCTCGTGTCTTAGCTCTTGGTATCCGACACTCTCCATCCCGATGATATATTTATTTTTGATATCTGGTCTTTGGTTATCAAAAATATGGAGAGAATATTATGATATCATCCGGATATGTTTTATGATTGTTTGAGTTTGGATTTTTGAAGACTTCTGAAGACGATGATTTATTTAGTGATGCGATGTGACACTTATTTTTTGTCTTCACAGATCAAATTTTTGGCATTACTAGATGTTTCCCGGTTCCAGATTATTTATTATTCGGACTCTATCACAGGATGATTCTTTGTGTTTGCATTCGGTTCAGATACTATGATTTTTCGAGTTTGAATTTGTGATATTTTGAAGACGAAGATTATTTTGGCGATGAGACGTGACACTTATTTTTGATCTTTCGATCAAATTTTTGGCATTGTTGGACCATGTCTTTGGACTCACATTATTTATTATCCGGACTTCATTTTTTGGATGCTTCACATTTTGGTGTATTATGATTCGAGAACTAGAGATTTTTTTCAGACTTTTTGAAGCCAAAGTGTTTCTTTTATTGGATATTCTACTTGCTCATGGTGATCCTCTTCTTGATCTTGGCGCTTATGACTAGTTTGAAGATTTGGATCTTATTTTCTGCTTCATTGGTGGTGCTTTGAAGTCGAAGACCTTCATTGTTTAGAGATTCATGGTCAGTTTCAGACATCACAGACACTTCAGAGTTTCAGAGACATTTCAGCACTTGGTTCTCATTATGTTTCATTTTATTACCACACTTGCTAGTCGGATTACTGTATTATAGCCTTGTATCACTTATTGTATCTCTCATCATTTGTAAGCATTTAGGGAGAGAATGTTGGAGCATGTAAATGCTCTACAAATAATTGAGTGATAGTTAGGTTATTTATTTCCCTTTATTGTATTTTAGGTGTATTTTCTCTGCCTCCTATATAAAGGGAGATGTGGTCACTTTTCTAAGTGTGCACTTTCTAAAAATGTAATCTCTAGAGATAGAAAGTGGTGGCATCTTTCCCACCAAGGGAGAATCTTCTCTCCCACGTTCTTATGCATGTTCTCTCTTTCTTTTTCTTCTTTTCTTATCTATCTATGAATTCTCATCATATATTCTTCATGTTTATATTTTATACACGATACATCTCGAGATATTTTTCTTCCGTATCCACCGTTCATATAAAAATGGATTCTATCACAAATATTGTAGGTGGCTCAGGTTTCCTAGAGATGAAGGGATAGAACCACTAAGTTTATTTTCACTCAAGGCAAGATTAGTGAGAGACTTTAAATTCCCGAGTTCAGAAGTATGAGACCAGAAATTTGATTTTTGTACAATTGAAGGAGATTCAAAAATGTCAATTCACCCAATGATGAAGGAATTGAGGCATATAGATTGTTTGAGAAGAAGTGCATGGAACAGATGCACTAGAATTCGTAGTATAGGGAATCCATGAAGAGAGCAAGGAGTTGTTTGGGATTTGAAGGCTTGCTTTCCATTTAAGAAGAGCATTGGTTTCCTTCATAGAACTAGAAGCAAGATTTGGTATGGGGGAGAATGTAATAATTAGTAAAGCTAGAGATAAAAGTAAGAAGTTTGGAGAAGACATTATTTGCTTTGTCATGTTGTTTTGTAAAAATTATGGTTTGTATGTCCGAATTTATACTTGAGCCGTCCTTTGCTAGATCATGTCCCTCTCTCATAAAACAAAAAGTTTGGGCAGTGTCATATTTTTCCAACAAAGGGTGTATTTTACGTTAGAAGTTAAAGTCCAAATTTTCCACAATTGTAATCCTCATGACAACCTTTGTAATCCTCATGACAACCTTTGAAAAAACTGAAGGTTAAAAAAGAAATTAAAGTTTGTTAGTTATCAAATAAATTAACAACATTATTATATGTAATTAAATCATGGATTTAACAGTGTAATATATCATGATCATCAGTTGTTATTTTTGTTTTAAGCTTAGTTCTAATAGAAATCTCAATCTGAAAGCAAATGTTCCTATCATATTGATTAAGTGAAATTGTGTATATAGTTGGTTCCAGAATCATGGTTTCTAAAATTGTTGTTTCAAATTATAGACCATACAAAATTTGAATATGCTTTTTCATAAATCGAAAACTTATGACACCAGAAAATTACCATGAGAAACATCTGGAAAACAACAGTTTTTAATCTTTTAATAATAGTGAAAATGTTCCTATCTTACTTGGAGGATTCTTTGATCTGGTCTTCACTATAACAGGTTATTGGGGATGGCTATCAAAAGTCTTTCAAAAAGAATCTACAAAATGAATGGATATGTTGCATTCCTTGAATGTGGATAATTTAAAGGTGGTTATTATTTATTTGGGTTTATTACATGGTTATTTTGTTATCATCTCCTCGAGTGTTAGTCATATACTCTAAAAATAAAAAGACAGGGGCAGACCTAGGGGTGGTCTACGGTGGCACCGGCAATCCCTAACTTTTCCGGCCGCAGTGGAAAATTTTTCGTAAACTTTTTTTTTTCTATTACCGTGCAACCCCTACTGTAAAATCCTACGTCCGCCACTGATAAAATATCATTTTTTATTTTTATAAGCGAAAACTAGCAAAATGCCACTAAGGAACATTACAAATGGGAAATAGAAAGAAAAATGTTACACAACCAACCAATCTAATTAATATTACAATTTTTGTTTCTATTTACAATCCAAAAAAAGGATTGTGGTGACGATGCTAACAAAAATCTTCAAATTCTTTGGTTTTCTAGATCGAAAAATGAGCTTGTTTCGATACAACCAAATAGTGGTTAAATTTGGTTGATCAAAGAGTCAATAATAATAAGCGCATCAAAACACTTTCATTGCATAGCGATTAAATTTTGTCGATCCGACCATAAACTCCTTTCTTCAACCATGTTGTGACCTGGAACCGTAATATCCCACTATCTACCTATTAAAACCGAATTGTCAAGTTGGCACTTAATCAAAGGATGATTAGGGTTTTCCACCGAGGAATAGCATACAGAAAACAAGGACCGAGTCCACATCTATCCCTTTGTCAACAAATTTTACTTTGGTCGGCATCCTTTTTAACCACATCCACAACAACATTTTAAAATTAATAAGGACAAAATTGTTCCATCTCGTTGTTGGAGATCCTCTCGCAAATGAAAACGATTACCTTAGCAATCAAAACATATCTCAACCGATGTATAACACACCCAAATAAATATCAAACATTTAGTCTCATAAACGAGTGTAAAGCCCAAAGAAACATATACGAAACTACGATGTGGAAATACGAGAAAATATATAATAACAAGAGCAACACATACCAAGATAAAATAAATAGAAACAGAAAACAAACAAACAACAAGACACGTGGTAACCTACAACTATTTCGGACCTATGTAACCTTCCGGTGGGCCAAACACCGATGGTGATCACTATGGCTCGTTTTTACAGTAGATTATGGAAGATAACGATTCGAAGACAGTTCAAGGAAGGAAGCGAACATTTGTTTTTCAAGGAGTAGGGCAAACTAAGCAGAATTCTAATTCAAAGGAAAAACAATTGGAAAAACTGGCGATTACGGTATATGTTTCTAACATTCCGCCTCATTTTACGGTTTGTGAATTGTGGAATATATGTGCTCGATTGGGCATGGTTGTTGGTGTGTTTATTGGGAAAAAGAAGAACAAGATGGGAAATATGTTTGCTTTCGTTAGATACATTAGGGTCGTTATTTAGGAAAACCTACTAAACTCCTTGTGTAAAATCCGGATTAGTAATTTAACTTTGCATGCCAACATGGCTAGGTTTTCTCATGGTAAACCTAAGGATGCTCCTATTCTTGCTAATGATCAACATGTTAATAAGATTTTTATGGGGAATATTTCATATGCTAAAGTGCATACTTGGTGACCATGACAAGGGTGTAAAAGATTGGGCAACATAGGAGGTTCATTCGAAATCCAATGTAGTTTCTGAAGGAGGAAATAAGTTGACGTATCCTTAGGCACTTCTTGGGTGTTATAAAGATTTTCTTGCGATAGGTAATACATGTAACATGTGTCAAGGTGAAGGTTTTTTTGGATGTGGAACCTTTGGATCTTAGTGGCTTATGGGTGTTATTGGATTTCTCATATGTAGATACTAGGGATTTGTTCCTTAACCATGTATTAATACATGGTTTTCTGAATTAAAACCATGGCATGAAGACTTTTGTGTTAAAGAAAGAATATTAAGGTTGGAGGTGGAAGGTATTCCAATTCTTTCTTGGAATGATGAGACGTTTAACAAGTGGGGTGGTCTTATTTCATTGGATAATATTGATGATCATAATCATTGTTCAATGCATCTCAGTATCAAAACGAATCATACACAACTTGTTTTTGAAACTACGTATGTTAACCTTTTCAGTGTGGAATATGGTATTCGTGTTCATGAATTAAAGTTTGTAATACAGTTGATGCTTATATTCCCAATACAGTTGACTTTACTTGTAGTTTGGCTAGAGGTAGTTCCGAGGGTATTTTATGTATTTGGAATAAGCTTCTATTCCAATAATATAAAAGTTTTTTTTTGGAATACTTTGTTTCCATTGAAGGTGTTTGGGTGCCTCTTAATATACCTTTGATGTTTAGATATGTATATGCTCCTCAATCCCATTTGGAAAAGAAAATGTTATGGTATAATTTTAATGTATAAAGACAATGGACTAACACAAGTTAAGGGAAAAAGAAGGGAAAATCATTGAAATTGGTGATTCCAAAACCAGAGGGGAATAGTTGATTCAGATGTCACTGAAGTTGATAATCCCATAATTCAGGTTATGATGACAATACAAGGAAAAAAAAAACGTGGTGTTATTGTGTTGATATAAAACTGAAACTGGAATGCACCTGATACATTTTGATCAGCATCTTTGCAAATTGCAATTAACAAGTTCTCAAGATGATGTGAACACCACTGTCAGTGTCCACAATCTCACTTATTTCACCAACCTTCAATTCGTATGTTGCATCTTCAAAGGGCTTCTGCATCTGGTTCCTTCCAAATGATCCTGTTTCAAAGTTTTCCAAGAATGTTTCAGTTAACAATACACTCCAATTAGTAGTCAATTCATGAGCAATGTGCTACAAAAGGCCTAAAGAGAAAGATTAGGTATCGCTCATGCTGCTGTTATTGATGTTGAATGTCTTAAATACCCACAAGAAAAACCTCTCTTCTGTATTACTAACTAATGCTAAAAAATTCATGTAGTTGTTTCAATCTTCAGCTCTGTAAAGAAATTTACACAACTAGAAGAAACAGTCATAGCATAACACGAATATGTGAATCAATGGTATAGCAATTTCAGAGATCAAGCATACGATTGCTAAAAATGAGCTTCTGTAATTAAGGGCAAGAGGTTAAAATTTTGCACATACCGAGATCTCCACCGCGCTTAGCAGAGCTGCAATCGGAGTAACGAGATGCGACGTCCTCGAACTTCGACTTTCCAGAAACGATGTCATCACGGAGTGATTTGAGCTGAGACACAGCGGCCTCTCTTGTGGTGCTGCTGATGATACGACCTTCTGGATCCTTCCAGGACGCCTTACGACGAGATCCTTGGTGCTTTATCAGTATGTGCGAAGCCCTAACTTTATCAGATGAAGACGACGACATTCTTAATTTCTTCTTGTGTATGATGATCAGCGGCGGTCGTCGGATCTGGGGTTTTCGTTCTCTTTCGATCGGAATCGATTGTTGCGGATTTCAAGGGTTTTTCCGGAATGGCGGTTCACGGCGATCTTTGGAGCTTCATCTGAGAGAAGGTGCTTGTGTGGGGTGTAAAGTTGATGATTTGTGGGGCTCGACATTACGGCGTCGTTTAGATAAATCATAATGTAGAGAATAGAATATCTCGATAGACCCTTTAGGTTTTACAAATAACGAAATGCCCCTCGTAACTCTAGGAAAAAAGATGTGCAAATATTTCATTCATATTTAAATAAGAATATAATTATTTTATATAACCCCATTTAAAAGATTATAAATAGTTGAGCTAAACTCATTCGACAATTTTCTATTTTAGCTAAATTTTTTAGCTCTTGACATTTAATGTGTTTTTAAAACTAAAATATAATTAGGTATAAGACCCGTGTATTACACGTATTGATTAAAAAAAACTAAATATCAAAATTTAAAATTAATTATTTTTTAAAATAAAAATTTAGAATAAAGAAGGAAGAAACGTATTTATTGAAATTTACTATCACATTTATAACATTTAAGACTTTACATATATAACTATAAGTATTAAGTATTATGTGAGTTTTTTAATTTTAAATATTGAAAAAAACTAAAAACTGATATGTTGATATTATTTATTTCAAAAATACCATAAAATGACAACTATCAAAACTCATTAGATTGACATATGGCAAAATGAATTTCATTTATTATAGTAGAAGAGAAGATATAGGGCGGGTTCGACATGGAGCTTTTGAGAGCGTTTGAAAGCTTCTAGCTTCTAACGTTTGACAAAACGCTCCGTTTTAAACAGAAAGCCTTGTTTGGCACTACAAGCTTTTAGCGTGTAGTTTAAACAAAACGTTCCAAATCCAAATGTTACTTCATGTAGTGTTTAACAAAACGCTACAAGCTGCAAGCTACCCGCCACCCGCTACAAGCTACCTGCTACCAGCTATTTTTGCCAAACACACCCATAACCTAACTTAATCAGTTTTCACGTCATTAAATTGAAGTTACCATATTTAATATTTTAAAATCAAGCTAAATCGAATATGGACCAACATTTGTTTAAAACATGGTATTGGAATCATGTTCTTTCAATATTTTTCATAATTAGTCATGCCCTTAGCCCAAGCCCATACACATTTTGAGGATAATCAACTTAAATCGTGAACAATCTTAAACTTCGACATTAAACAATGTTTTAAAAACCGGTTTTTTAGTTGAACAGGTTGGGTGACCGGTTCCGGTTCAACCGGTTTTCTTATAATTTTTTATATTTCTTATTTTTTCCCTGCATACATATTATTATATAAAACCTAGAATTTAACATCCACGCGTTCAAACAATAGAAATGTATATGAAAATTATTGTGGATCAATCCAAACACATTAAAAAACACATTGTCATAGGTTTTACATCAATCCAAATACATCAAAAAAAAACATAAAACGTAATACCTAAACAAAAAATATAGTTTTAGCTTAAAAGTAACGCATCAAGATCAAATCAAATTATGGATCTTGAGACATTGGAGTGTTATACGCATCAATCTCACGATCACTTAATAAATGAAATTCACTGTCAATTTCATCATTATTAAAAACAGGGCCGGTTTCTTTTTCTACAATATAAAAAAAACAAGGTTAATGTCACGAAATAGCTTAATAATAAACTAAAATTATAACACTACATTAATATTTATGGCAAAAAATGTCACCTTGTGTTTGAGCAGCCGGTTCATGCTCTTCTTCGTCAAACATATTTTCTAAATCATTGTAATCAAGTTCTCCTTCCGGCTCTTTTTCAACCACCCAAAAATCCGTCTTGTCAATACATTCATTGTCAATAGGATCGTAAGACCTTTTATCAACCTTGAGTTTACAAAATCATTCATAGAAAAAGTTGTAAAAATAAAATGATATTGATATTAATTAAATATTTTATGATAATAAAACGTACCTATTTTTTAAACAAAAGTTGTAGTGCACAAATACAAGATCATTTAGTCTTTGATGTTCCAGTCTATTCCTCTTTTTTGTATGAATCCTTTCAAAGACACTCCAATTACGTTCACATCCGGAAGAAGATGCGGTTTGGCTTAGTATTCTAATAGCAAACTTTTGTAATATTGGAGTATCTCTGCCAAATAACTTCCACCACTCATCTACAAATAAAATGGTAAGAAAAAAATATATTTCACAATAATATAGTTAATAATAGTATACAAAAGTTAAATGTTACCTAGATGGGTACTAGTACGAGAAGCAATGACACTATATCTACCAAAAGTACCTTCACTGTCACTAAACTTGCCTAGAGATAGTGTGAGATCTAAAATGCTTGTACCGGAAAATTTCTTCTCAACCATATCGAGAACACCTTGAAACATCTCTCTCTTACAACAAACATTCTCATGATTATACTGAAAAACTGGATTTAATCGATACGATGCACAATGAATACTTTTTCTTAGCATTCTATCCTAACGACGATCAATTATGTCAGTATAAGGCTTATATAATTCTTTCTTCTTCTTAAATAATTCCTTTACCCCTCTTCTTTCCCAATACATTCCCTCATAAACATAACCGAATGCAGGTTTTTCATCTGAATCACATAACCGCAAAAGTCTTAACAAAGGAGTCATCACTTTTACAGTAATCAAACAATTTTTCCAAAAATTTTCATTCAAGACAATATCTTTACATTCAACTGCATTTTTCACTTTTAACATCTTCTTAAAGTTGTTAGATATGTCCATTGCTTGTAAATCAGCTTTATGGTCATACAAACTTTTCAATGCAATAAACGCAGTACCAAAACGGGTAGCACATGGACGGATGATTTCTGTCCAACCATCTCTTTTTCTTAACCAATTCAAGGGCCACTTATGATTGTAAATAAAAACAGTAACTCTGGACGCAAGAGTGACCAAACTTTTTACATTATCCAATTCCGAAAACATCCTTTAATATAAGATTAAGACAATGTGCTACACATGGAGACCAAGTAATAGAAGGATATCTTTCACATAGGTTATTACCAGCAAGTTTGTAATTAGCAGCATTATCAGTAACAATCTGAACCACATTCTTGTGTCCTACCATTTCAACAATCTCAGCAAACAAATTACACAAATTTGAAACATTACTCTCTATATCAGATGCATCAACAAATTCAAGAAATGATATTCCTTTCGGACAATAAACCAAAAAATTAATTAAATGGCGTTGCCTAGTATCCCTCCACCCATCACTCATAATTGTGCAACCACTTTCAATCCATTGACTTCTATATGAATCAATTAACAATGAAACAGACTTCTTTGCATTTGACAATAAATTGACCCTCAAAGCATGATAATTAGGTGCTTTATACCCATGACGAATACTCGCTATTTTATCTACCATGTGTTGAAAATAAGGAGAGTCACAAGCATTCATAGGTACACATGCATCATAGAACCACATCGCAATTGCTAAATCGACATCACGTATTTTTTGCTTAGTTTGCATGACAAATTTAATAGTGGGTCGAGAATGATCATTTATACTTTTTGTGAAGAAAGGATGAAAATTTGATGTACCTTTCCGTTTTCCTTCTTTATTAGGTTGTGCTTTGACATTTCGATTTTGTGTTTCTTCCGTCTCTTCATCGTCATCCGAGATAGTAACACTGTTTATGCCATCACCATTAGCTTTGCGTTTTTCCCTTTGTGTCGTTTCTTTCAAAAGACCTTGCATTAAGAAACGGACTTCTGGAGATACTTTAGTACAAGCTGATATGTCACCAATAACACCGGCAAGATGTTTCTTAGCTCTGCTTATTCCACCACCACGCCAATTTTTTTTGAAAAAAATTACATATGTAACTCTTGTTTCCTTTTTCATCCTTAGCTAGAGTTATATGTTCCCATGCTTTATCCGTCTTCGTTCTTACATTTGATTGAACGAAAGGTTGTGATTGAGATTGTGTTTCCATTGGTTGTTTGTCTCTAGAATCCATGTTGAACTGTATTATAAAACCATAGAACAATTTCAAAATCAGAATAACAAACATAAATAAACTAAAACTAATAAAATTTGACAAATACAAATTGACTAACCATTAACCAAACAGTTTTTGAAGTTCCATATATATATAATAAACTTAAACAGTGGGTAAGGTTTCGTTCATAACCAACATTAATTAAAATAATGTTTAGTAAAAGCAAACAAGATAGGACTTACCGACTTATGTATTGATTTTTTCAATTGACTTAATTAAAGTCATATATGGACGATGGATTGTAGATTCGTAGGTTTTCATCAATTAAAATTGAACTAAAAAACACATGTGCAGATGTGCTCAATTCTTACCTTAGTCGGTTGCGGCTTTTGAAGATGAAGGCTGCATTAAAAAGAGCAACGTGATTATGGAAGATTATGTATTGATCACGTCGACCATGGAGATAACGAGAGATAAGAACTTGACCTACTGTGTGTAACGTTCAATCTAAATTGCAGGCTATATTTGTTGAAACTTGTGAAGCCCGCACTCCATATTTTAGCCCAAATATTTTTAGTCATCGGTTTAAACGATATTTAACCGGTTCGTTACAACCGGTTTAACCGGAAAATAACAATAACAGGCCGGTTCACACCGGTATAAAATCTAGCAAAAAACCGGTCCTAATTAAACTGGACACTACACCGGTTCCCGGTTCGACCGGTCGGACCGGCCGGTTCGAACCGGTTTTTAAAACATTGCATTTAAACTTGAAGCAGATGAAAATCACATTATATATATATATATATATATATATATATATATATATATATATATATATATATATATATTGAAGTATGTTCAAATGAGAACAATTCTTATTTTGAGAATAAATTTCAGCTATAACAAAAAGCGTCTGATTTTTAATGAAGTAGAGGATATGCACGTAATTTTTCATTTCTTTTCCAAATGAAAGCTACAAGAGCATCTCTTTCACTGTATACCATCGGACCACCACCGCCTACGCCCCACCACCACTTTGTTGTTGCCTTCAACAATCAATCGCACCACCATACACCCTTATCTTCTCTGATAAGCATCGGTGAGAACACCACCGAATTCACCA